AGATATAATATATAGAATTTTTATAATTTTTGATTATGTAATTAATAATTTAAAAATTGTCAAAGTTATAATTTATATTAAAAACATAGTAAGTAAACTTAAATTTTTGAAAGTAACTATAAAAATTTATATAATATTATAATATTTATTTAAATCTCAATAAATATACAATACATCGTAATGATATAATTGCAAATAAAAACAAAAAAAAATAGAATAAATAAATAACTTTATTAATAAAAGTTTTAATTTAACAAATGGCATCACTTGTGATAAAATTGATATACTTAATCTAGAACTGGTAATATAAAAAAATAATTAAAATGAACTATTTATGTAATCAGAAAAATATATACTATCAAACCTCAATAAAGTTGCGTCCGTCAGTTGAACTTCAAAAAAAAAAAAGGTATATTTTGTACAAAGTAATCTAAGACAAACCTGATAGAGGGTTAAAAAAAAAAGATAATAATTTAGATATAATGATATTTTTATATGAGAAATGACAAATATTTTTATATAGAAAAGTTCAAAATAAATTAATAAAAGAAGTAAACAATAAAGAAAATAAGATTTCTAAAAAATTAGTAAGAATAAATATATATAATATTAGAAATATTATAGATAAGACAAATCAATAAGATCTCATTGATGAGATACAAAAACAAGAAATAGGTACACTAGAATTATGCAAAATGAAATTAACTTAAACCAATACACAATGAGTCTTCAACAATCAAAAAGCCTATAAGTATTTACATAGTACCAGCAATAATATACTATTTGGAACAAGGGTTAGTCTTTTAATTAAAAAAATTTAAAGAAAAAAGTAACATAAGTTTAAGGATATATAGTTGTTACCAATTTGCTTATAAAATGAAAAAAAATCTATATTGTATAAATTTATATTTTATCTGATAAAAAAAAAGTATAAAAGTATAAAGAAACTAATAAATCTCATCAAAAGAAAGTATGTATAAGATTATTTTACAATTGTAATAAAAGACTTTAATATAGCTTATAATCTATCAAAAGATAGATAATTTTTTTAAAAAATCATGTTTAGATCATTATAGCATCTAGAAATTTCTTTGTTCTTCTTTCTGGATAAAAGAATTTTATAAATATATAAGTTATATAAGAAGGTAGAAACAAAACTTCCATAAAATAGTACTTAACAAGTAATAAAAAAATAAATTATATTTGAATATTATATAATTTAGTAAGCTATTCCTTATTTTTATTTGACAATTAAAACATAAAGATATCACAAAAAGTAATTATTTTATATTTGTAATTACTCTATATAATAAAACCTGTTTACAAGAAATGAAGTCAATAAATCTTCTATATATATGAAACAAATAAATATAAAGAAATTATTCCTTTTACAATAACAAGTCTATTAAGAAAGTCTAGATTACAAGCTTAAAACAATATTAAAATCTTTACTTAAAAAAAATTTAATTAAAAGAAAAAAAAAACTCAAGTGAATAGACTCTGAAAAACTTTCAAAAAACTATTATGCAAAACAATTTTTAACAAACTTGCAATTAAAAAATCAGTTTTAAATATAGAAAAAAGTATAAGTATAATTCCAAATTTATTAAATATAGAAAAGCCTTATAACTAAAAAGACTTTTCAATAAAGTCAAAATATCAAAGGATATAATAAAACTATAGATTTTTAGTTTAATTATAAAAAAAATATAATATTATTCACAAGTCCAACTATCCAATTAAAAATATCTGTGTTTTACAATATTTTTAATATGTCCTAGAGATCTTTAAAAAAAGATATTCAAAATATAATAAAAAGATTAAAATTTATATAACAAAGATTGAAAGTCAAAAAAATAAAAAATGTGATTAAAATTACTCTAAAATAAAGGTATAAGGATTTATAATATAATCAAAAAAGAATAATTAACTTTTTAATGAATCAAGTTAAAAATAAGATTATACTTAATAGAATTAAAATTAAAAAAAATAATATTGAATATATCATAATACAAAGATATAAAATTGAAAAAGAGATTAAAAAGTATTATATAAAGATATTAAAAAAAAATATTAGTTATAACAATTTATCAAAGAATTAAAAGAAAAAGTACAAATCAAGAGAATTTATATAAAAAGCTTAATATAAAAAATTATTCAAATTAATCTTCAAAGAAGAATTAAATAAGACATTAATACATTTTCAAACAATAAAGCTTCAAATAGATTATAGATTAACTATAAAATAAAAAATTAAGTCAGGAAAAAAGGTATTCTTGAAAAAAATACTTAATAACTTTTTGAAATAAGAAGTTACTTTAATCTAGTGAAAACAAAGTCACATATATCCAATAGCTAAATTAAAGCTATAGAATTGTAAACTCTTAAACACTAAACCTATTGTTCTATTAAAGATTACAAGAAAAAGTTTCACTAAAATCCTTATTAATCGAATGAAAAAAATCTATAAAGTCAATAATATTCTTAAAGGATCAATTATATAGAATTATTAGAAGAAAGTACAACAGAATCAATTTAGATTCACAATATCTGTAAAAATACCAGAGAAAATAAAAAAGAACTGTAAATACCTTTTTAAAATATGGCCAAAACTTATGATACTATTAACTTAGAAATGTTAATTAAAACAATGAAATACTATAAATTAAAGCTCCAAAAGGCTTTATTAAGATCATGATGCATCTATTTCAAAACAGAAAATTCCAAATTATATTTAAGAATGATCTTATAAAGTCTATAGTAACAAGAGATGGGATCGATCAAGAAGAAACCATCTTGACTTAATTAAATTCTATATATTGCTAATAAAAACCAAGGTATCTAAACAAGTTGATTAAAAAAAAAGTTAAGTTAATTAACAAAAATTTTTAATTTAAATTATTAATAGGATATTTATATAATTTAACTTTTAAAAATCAAATAATTGTTATTTGTTTTATTTCGCTCAATAAACCAAAACGTTATTAAAAAAATGATCAAATGTCTACGAGTAACACAAAATTATCTGATAAGGAACGAAACAAGCAATAAAATATTATTATTGCCAGTTAGAGATCATCAGTTCTCTGAGAATTGTTCTTCGAAAGGTAATTGATTCACCACTATTAAAGAATGTGAACACTCATTTGTCATCCCTTTCGTTTATATAAATTATGGTCATTAGTGATTTCTAGCCATTATATAATAAATTGGCATCCTATTATCTCTAAATGACTTCATTTTCATCGACTTTATCATTGTCCGAACCGAAAAATTCATCATTGACAATTGAATTTACGCTGTCACCTAAAATTATATTGTTGACAGTGTAAGCAAAAAGCTATCTCGATGGCAAAGTCAAAATGTAATAGAAAAGGATGCAATATAATTGATATCTACATGCCTTGTTTTTGTGGTATATTTAATTTTCTCTTTTTCAGTTTATTATCGTCCTCCATTTTTTTTATTATCTGCATTTTAGCTTCTTCTCTGAACCGTCTATTAAGATTATCAAGATCATTCTTCTCAACAGCTTCTTTTATAAGCTCTCTGATCTCGTTCCTCTTGGCGATCATTTCGGGATTATCACCTCCAGACGTTGGGTAAAGTGCCAAATATTTACGTCCCCTTGGGAAATTCTTGAAAACAATTTATCAAAAATTAGTATACTTAACAAAAATAGTTCTGTTGCTACTTACTACTATATAAGTTTTGTCGATTTGCAAATCATGCAATTTCCGTTTTGCTGCTTCTATTTCTTTCTGGTTTTTTGCTTCTAGTATTTGCTTTTTGACCTTTTTTATCGCTCGCTCGACTTTGATCATATCTTTATTATTTTAATATTTACGTTAACCACTTAAACTTATGAATATTGATTTTAACGTAATTCTTAAATGATTAATGTATGTGATATACACACCAAAATGTTTAACTTTTCTATAATAAAGTACCATTTTCTTCTCTTTTGACTCCGCCAATCTTTCCACAAGCATTAAATTTAAGGCTTTTAGTTTCCTTTCCAAGCATATTTGTACTTCTATGATTTATAAGGTACCTGTCAAAGTAGAATGTTATTGGTTTTTTTCTTTACTTATTGCAGTTAAGTATTTTGATTAGATGGGATAATAATATATTTAAATTATTATTATATTTTATTATATTATTATATTTATTTAATTGTTTTTTATTCTTGTTTACTATAGTTATTGAGAAGAGATTAGACTTTTGCTCTTCATGATTGCTATATATAACTAATGTACATTTAAGAATAGTTTGTTTTTTTATTACTATATCTAGATCTATTAGAAGTTAATTGTTTTTTTAATTTATCTATTTTATTGTTTAATTTCTTAAGATTTGCTAAAATATGATTTGAAGAATCTTGTAAAGCTTCTATTCTGATTTTAACATATCTTTTATATATTTATAACAATTGTATTTGGTTTCCTGTTGCTTTTTATTATAAGGTATCTACTAAGTCTGTTAATTTTATGTTTTATTTTTTTATTATGATAATATTTAATTTGTCTTCAATTTGCTAACTATAATTTTCATTAGAGATAGAAATAGATTTTATAAATTTAATATCTAACATTATTTCTAAAGCTAAATCTTTACCTATTTCTATTTTTTTGTATTTATATTTTGCATTTGAACTTTTTGTTACTCTTTTAGCTCTTTTCTTTTTTTAAGTTAATAAAGTATTTAGCTCTTCAGGAAAAATATAATTTCTATAAAATGTATTATTTGCATATATTGTTTCTATTTTTTTTTTTTGTAAAACAAATTATTATAAAGTTTTGTTTTTTAAATATAAAAAAATCTTTGAGTATGTAATATACTTTAGTTTAAGTATTATTTAATATACTGGCTATCAGACTAATATATGTTTTATTTGTATTTAAAAATCTTAATGAGTTACTGTTTCTTCCAACCAAAATATCATTAATTTTTTTGTTACTTAATTTTGATTTTAAGAATATGGTTCTTAATATTTTTATACTGATTAAAGTTATTTATTTTACTTTTGAATCAAGATTAAGGCATTTATGCCATTTTATATATACCTTAATCCTAAACTTGATATTTATTTTATAGATATAAATATTTTAAATCTCTTCATATTTTTTTAGGTATTTGGATATATAATATTTATTGAATTTTTGATTTACATTTATTAATTTTTTTTTTTTTTGAAGCTGGCTCAGCCTCCAGTTGGTTTTTATTAAAACTTTTACTTTGATATTACATTGTATTATCTATTTCAAAGTTAACTAAATTTCATGAACTATACTAGAATATATGGTAGCAAACAAAAGTCTTGCATCACCTATTAATTTTTTATTAATAA